GAGTAGAGGGCAACACATCTGTTTATTCACGATTCCATTTTTAGTATCTGCTTCCATTGCTTCTTGGCCTTTTGGCTAACACCCAGTGTGGTATCTATTTCCGGAAGCAACAAGTACTGCACATAGTCAATGTATGTGTGCTACGTACTACTCAGCTGGCCGGCAGGAGGGCTGGGAGCAGGTACTCCCAATGTACAAGGACACATTTTAGAACAGGAGTGCTATTTTTTTTTAATAAAGGTTTATTTATTTGAAAGGCAATGACAGAGAGAGAGAGAGAGAGAGAGAGAGAGAGAGAGAATCTCCCATCTGCCGGTTTGCTCCCCCAAATGGCCACAAGAGCCTGGCCAGGCTGAAATCAGGAGCCTGGAGCCTCTTCCAGGTCTCCAACATGGATGCAGAGGCCCAAGGACTTGGACCATCTTCCGCCGCTTTCCTAGGCCATAGCAGAGAGCTGGATCAGATGTGGAGCAGCCAGGACTCGAACTGGCGCCAATATGGGATGCTGGCACTGCAGGTGGTGGCAATATCTTCTATACCACAGTGTAGGCCCTGAGGAATGATATCTTACTACAACTACTGAGAACTTCACAGCAAAATCAGTAGGCTTGGATTTGGAAACACCTGGATTTGAAACAGGGTTCTGCCATCTCTTGTGCAGTCTGGCAAGTTACTTCTTATCTTTTGAAAATGAAGAACTCTTCTCTTCACAAGATCATCAGGAATAAATTAAAAATGCATATGTACTTAGTTTGGCATACAACTCAATGATGTATTTGCTCATTGTGTTTTGCCCATTCATTTATCTGTTCAAACCCATCCCTAAGGCAACATAACAGAGGTGTTTATTTGTTGTAGAAAAACTTTTTTCTTCAAGTGATCAAGTCATTAGGACAGGTATCTGGTCATTTTTTTGGGGGGTAATAATTTGTACATATTTAAGGCCAAGTACATGTGTCTCACAATTATGGGGAACACAGACATTGTGGTTTTGTACATTTGTCTGACTGCATGATAGTATGCATTCTACTTCTAATGCCAGCATCATCTCACCACACAGTTATTTGTTTTTTTTTGTTTTTTGTTTTTTATTTTTTGACAGGCAGAGTGGACAGTGAGAGAGAGACAGAGAGAAAGGTCTTCCTTTGCCGTTGGTTCACCCTCCAATGGCCGCCGCACCATGCTGATCCAAAGGCAGGAGCCAGGTACTTCTCCTAGTCTCCCATGGGGTGCAGGGCCCAAGCACTTGGGCCATCCTCCACTGTACTCCCTGGCCACAGCAGAGAGCTGGCCTGGAAGAGGGGCAACCGGGACAGAATCCAGCGCCCCGACCGGGACTAGAACCTGGTGTGCTGGTGCCTCAAGGCGGAGGATTAGCCTAGTGAGCCGCGGCGCGGCCCACACACAGTTACTTGTATAAAGGCTCCAGACCCTGTATTCTAGAAGAACGATGAGGCAGAGGTTATCCTAAACTGCTGCGGTGGAGTCGCAGCCTCTACTTTTGGTTGCTGTAATCTCCACAGACTTGCAGATGATCGGAGTTTCTCTTTGCCTTGGTGTTATTTACCTCTTAGGATAGGTGTGGTGAGATCTGCCTCTCAACACCTGCTAATTGGTGTTTCTAACAAAATCTGAAGTACACAGATGTTTTTAAATAAATGCAAAGTATTCAACTAGTTTGTCAGTATTTCTCCTTGTGCTCTTGCTAAAGTTTAATTTTAAATCAAAATTGAACTTAAATTCTTACCTCCTGCATGACAAAACATGAACAAAAAACTGCTGCATTAGAACAAATTTTGTAATCAAAATGACAAAAAGCAATTTCTTTCCATTTGTTATGGAGACAATTACATAAAGAATTTTGGTGGGGTGCCCAAGCCATCCCACTGTGCCTGGGCCTCTCATGTCCCAGGAGTCCCTGTTCTGAACTGTCCTGCCATCCCTAGTGCTTTTTCACAGCTTACGGCCCTGTTATCCGCCCATAGAAGAGCCCAGTGCTTTCTAACTTCCGCTTTTCTGAAAGCACTTGCATAGTCTTCCTGTGCTGTTGGTGTCTAGTTCATGGCCACTTGGCTGGTCTAGAAATGCTGGAGTTCTGCTCTATGAGCACACGCCTAATGAGCACATACGAGCATATTCTGTACGTACTAGGAGCTGGGGGCAGTGCCAGGGCCGAGCTGACAGCAGTGTTCCTTCTGGCTACAAGGAAGTATTCATCTGCGTGTCTGCATCTTCAGTGACCTTGTGCTGTCGTTGTTTACAGATAAGGTACCTGTCCTTGCCAGGGCTGAGTGAGCAATACCAGGTAATACCTCACAGAGCAAGTCACTTACAAAAACAACGTATGTGGGTCATCCTTGGCCAATGTGGGGCCAGACGGAGGCTGTTCTACTGGTTTTCTTTAAATAGCGCCATGACCTAACCTGAATCTAAGGTAGTTTCCAAAATATGAATGGAATGAATATTGTGGAGGATCCGGTTATGGATGTTTAACCATGAACCAGAGACCAAACGTCACTATAATACTGCTCACATCAATTAAAAAAAAAAAAAAGGAGTCACGATCATGTACAAGGTTTCTGACACAGAAGCCATTTTCTTCCCCAGAAAACAAGGCTAGTACAGTCTGTGCACATGTAAGCAGAATTAACACTGATTAAAAAAGTGTCTAGGCTGGCGCCGCAGCTCACTAGGCTAATCCTCCGCCTGCAGTGCCAGCACACCGGGTTCTAGTCCCGGTTGCCCCTCTTCCAGGCCAGCTCTCTGCTGTGGCCCGGGAGTGCAGTGGAGGATGGCCCAAGTGCTTGGGCCCTGCACCCCATGGGAGACCAGGAGAAGCACCTGGCTCCTGCCTTCGGATCAGCGTGCTGCGCCGGCCGCAGCGGTCATTGGAGGGTGAACCAACGGAAAAAGAGGAAGACGTTTCTTTCTGTCTCTCTCTCTCACTGTCCACTCTGCCTGTCCAAAAACAACAACAACAACAACAACAACAACAAAAAACCTATAAAAAAATGTCTACAACCAGGGCTGGTGCTGTGGCACAGCGGGTTAAGCCACCCACCGTCTGCAGCACCAGCATCCCACGTGGGTACCTGCTGGAGTCTCAGCTGCTCCACTTCTTGTCCAGTTCCCTGCTAATTTGCCTGGGAAGATGGCCTAAGCCCTTGGGCCCCCTGCACCCATGTGGGAGACCCGGATGAAGCCCCTGGCTCTTGGCTTCGGCCTGGCCCAGTCCCGGCCATTGCGGCTATTAGCGGAGTGAACCAGCAGATGGAAGATCTGTCTCTGTCCCTCCCTCCCTCTCTGTGACTCTTGGCCTTAGTTTCTCAAGAAGGCGAAATATGACTCATGACACTTTTGAAAAGAAATTCCAATTTTGTGAGCACTTAACTGTGTCCGGGGTGCTGCGTCGAGTGCCTTAAAATATGTCATTTCATTTGATTCCAACAAGAATCAATGAGATTCCACGAGAATAGGAGTTACAATCGTCCCATGTCGCGCTCAGAGAGGTTGGGTGATCTGCTTAGGATCCCAGACAAGACCCCCAGAGCTCAGAGGCAGGCTTTGAAGGCTGGTGCCGCTTCTCAACCTTGTTTACAGGAACAACTCAAACGTGGACATTAGTACAGGGAACGGCCTACTCGTCACCTCCATACCCAACAAGCCCCTGCCACTTCACTGGTTTCAGTAACCCCACCAACCTGTTGATGAACCCCAAGTCTAGCAGGCATCCTGGAGCCCTCCCCACCGCCAGACCAGCAGCCAATGGTGCTGGCCCCCCTTTCAAATTAAGGGAGAATCCGGTCTCTTCTCATCACCTGCCCTGCCACTGCCCGAGCTCAAGGCCCTGTGGTCACCTGGACTTCTAAGACGGGCTCCTAACCGGTCTCTGCCTTCACAGCCCATTCTGCACGCAGGAGCCAGGGTTCTTTTCAGGAACACAGATCCCAAGTTCACTCTTCTAAAACCCTGCAACGCTTCCCATTGCAACAACGGACGGCTTCCACTGCTTCGCTCCTGGTCCTTGTGTTTTCCCCATTTCTCTGCTGTGAGCAGGGTTGGGGGAAATCTGAGGAAACCAGCAAAGGTGTAACGGGAGTTACCAAGGGGGCGACACGGGTTGCTGGGTGACACCGAGCGACTGGCTTTTGATAGGATGTTCTGGGCTGCGCGTGTTTCCCCGGCTCTCCTGTTTACAAAGACGCCAAGTCCACTGGCAGGGTGGCATCGGAGCCGTGCCAGCACCTCGCCAGTGCACCTGCTTGTCCTGCTCGCTCCCTCGCACCCCGCCTGCCCTGGGCGCGCAGGACGCAGGTGCCCGCGCCCCCACCGGCGCCGCGTTGTGGGGCGGTGCCCGGCGTACCGCACCGGATCCTTACAAAGCGTTTTGACGCCTGTCCAGCAACCCCCCCCAAGCACAGGGAGCGCCTTCCGTGGCCTGCCCGGCCCCTTTGGCTTCGGGTCCCGTCGGGCGCGCAGATAGCGGAGCCCAGGCGAACTCGGAGCTTCGGGCCCCAGGCAGCGCCCGCCGCGTGACGTCACCGTCGGGGGCACGGGCGCGAGCTGCACCTGCCGCACAGCGTAGGTTCCACGCGCGCGCGCGCGCAGCATCCCGCGCCCCCCAACCCCCACAGTTCAGCGGCCCGGGGCCCGGGGGGCTCGAGTCCAGAGCCGCGGCTGCCAGGAGTCACGCCCGGTCCCCCTGGACCGCGCAGGGGACGGACGGGTCCCCCGCGGTCACAGCCGCCGCCGGGGCCACGGAGCCGCAGCCGTCTCGTGGGAGGCGCCCCCCACCCCACCCCCACGGGCCCCGGCCCCGCAGAGCCGCTCGGCCGCACCACGGACCCTGGGGCGCCGCGGCGCTCGCCGACCTGGCGGGCCGGGCCGCGGGGTTTCCCGCACACGGCGCGCAGGGGCGGCGGGGCGGGGCGCGGTGACGTACGGGCGTGACGCGCGACGCAGCGCGACGCGGTGACGCACGCCCCTTTGTTGGCTCAGTAGCGGCAGCAGCGGCCGTGGAGGTGGCGCTGGGGGCTGTTTTCTCTCGGAGGCCGGAGCGGAGCGGCGTCTGACTGAGGCGGGCGGCCACAGGCCCCTCGCCGCCTCCCTCGCCGCCTCCCGCGCGCCGTCCCCGCCGCCCGCCGCCAGCCGCCCGCCCGCCCGCCGCCGCCGCCGCGCCGGGGAGGAGCCGCGGCCCGCGCGGCCGCAGCCAGGCCTGCGCCCCGGACACCCGCCGGAGCCGGAGCGAGAGCCGGGGCCTCGGCGTCCCCGCCCTCTCCCCGCCTCGGCCAGCGTCCGCCGCGCCATGGACTCGGACGAGGGCTACAACTACGAGTTCGACGAGGACGAGGAGTGCAGCGAGGAGGACAGCGGCGCGGAGGAGGAGGAGGACGAGGACGACGACGAGCCGGACGATGATAACCTGGACCTGGGCGAGGTGGAGCTGGTGGAGCCCGGGCTGGGCGTCGGCGGGGAGCGGGACGGACTGCTGTGCGGGGAGACGGGCGGCGGCGGCGGCAGCGCCCTGGGGCCGGGCGGCGGCGGTGGCGGCGGCGGCGGCGGCGGCGGCGGCGGGCCTGGGCACGAGCAGGAGGAGGACTACCGCTACGAGGTGCTCACGGCCGAGCAGATCCTGCAGCACATGGTGGAGTGCATCCGGGAGGTCAACGAGGTCATCCAGGTGAGCGTGGCCGCCGCGCGGGCCTGCCGGCCGCCGCCGCCCCTGCCGGGGATGCAGGGTGCGCGGGCGGGCGCTCGCCGGCCGGGCCGGGCCGGGCCGGGCCGGGCCGGGCCGGGCGCGGGGAGGCGCGCGGGGGCGGCGCTTCCCGGCCCCGGCCATGGCGCAGGCCTGCCGCCGCCGCCCGGGGCCTCCGGCTCGCGGCCGATGCCTGCCGCGCCGGGCCCGGCGGTCGCGGGCTGCCTCCCCACCGGGCGGTGCTGACGCGATGCAAGAGGAGGAGGAGTGGCGGGGGATCGGCCCGGTCCTGGGTGCTCCGGGCCGGTCTGGGGAGGGACTAGGGCAGGCCCGCGAGCAGCTGGGTGTACGGTTGCCCCAAGCGGGCACGAGTCAAAGGAGAAACGGATCCGCCCGGCAGGCCGAGCGCCTGCCTGCTCGGGGGAGGGGAAGAGGCGCGGGTGGGCCCTTTCCGACGGCGCGGCTGCTGCTGGCGGCGGTGACGTCCTGGCTGGCTGCAGGCGAGCGCCGGGGCCGCTCCGGCCGGCCGCACACGCGTCCCTGCGGCTCGCCGGGCAGCCCCCGAGCGCAGGGCGTCCCCCTGGACGGGGCTCCGTTTTGTGAGGTTTTCTGTGTCTGAGCTCGGTGCTCTCCTGCTCCGTGGTCAGGAAGCGAGGCTTGGCCGAATTCGGTGATCGCGGCTCCTTTAAGCCTGTGCATCGGGTTTTGCAGGTGTTTTTTTTTTTTTTCTTTAAGGAAATCAAAACTTTTTATTGAGGGAAAAATCGTGGTGAGGCGGCAAGGGATGTGGTTGCAGAATAAAAATGCCTTGATCCGGTGCGGCGTTCCGAAGACGCCGGCTCCCTGCGCGAGCAGCAGTTGCTGTTGCTTTCCTGCCTGTCCCTCGGCACTTTTTTAGAAATCCCTCAGGCGGCTCGCTGGGTCCCCGATCAGCAGTGTGTCGTGGCCTGTGTCCTGACTCCGTTTCCAGCGGACCCCGTGGAGTAGTTTAGTAAGCACCAGTCTCAGAGTAGCCCCGTCTTTGAAGGCAGCACTTCCCGTTCTGAATAACAGGGAGTCTCGTATCTAGTGCTGTTCTTCAACAGTTGGGATCCAAGAAGGAAGCCGAACGGTTTTAGGTACAAATTTACTGCTTTTTTTTTTTTTTAATTCCACAAATAACGATAGTTGAAATACTGGGCCACCGAATTGAGAGCTTGCTTTTTTTACCTAAAGAGAATTTTAGGAATTTAAAGTGAAACTTTATTTACAGCTGTCATACAAAATCTGTTCTCAAGCTTATTGCCTGGCCTTCTGCAATTTTAATTAGCTTTAAAAAACTTGTAGATATTTGTTACTTAGTTTTCTGATTTTTTTTTGAAGTCTGTTTTTCCTGTGGTTAAGTCTCTTCTAGTTTTCTCAGCTGTGAGGCTTGTGTTAATTACCAAAGGTCCCAATCAAGTTCTTTATGTCACTTCTGGAAAGAAATGTGACCAGTGCATGTGATAGCATTCTTTTAAGTGAGAGAGAGTAAATGCTGATGGAGTGAACTAATAAGACCTACAGGATACCAGGGACTTTTTTTCTTTTTTATGTGTCCTACTTTTACCTTGTTTCCATGCCTGGTGTTTTGAAAGAAAACTTTCATCGTCTGCCTTATTGTAAGATCGGTTTTAAATAGGATTCCTGAATATACCTGGTGTTGTATACTCATAAGTATCTATCCCTTGTTCAAACCTCCTTCTTAGAAATAGCAATAAAATCGAAGGGCAGAGTGTTTCTGTGACCATTTTTTCTCCAAATGGTATACTTACCTAGGTCTCAGATGGGCTTTGGCTATGTTGCAAGTTCATTTTATTAATAGATGTAGACTTTAAAAGTTATGCAAGTAATAAATCCACATTGTGAGGAAAAAAACAGTGACTAGGCAAGAAAAATAAAATGACAAAATAAGCCTTCCGCTCAGAGAGAGAACACTAAACTGAACTGTAGTTACCTTTCCAGACCTCGGGATAGCTGCGCGGAGTTTCCAGTCCCGGTGGAATCATGCTGTGTGTTCTGTTTTCAGTGGAGGAGAGAGGGCAAAAACAAAGCAGTCTCTGGACCACTCTCCCTAGTCTATAGGTTGCTTCTTCAAGATCTGATCTAATCTGTTTAATCAGTGTGTTCCTATTAGCTTTCCTCTTTTATCTCTTGTTTCTGTCTTTTGTAAACATCACTGAGAGTAGTATAGACCAATCCTTTTTTAAAAGGTGCTTTTTATTTTTATTTTTTTTTACTGAAGAGATAGAGACAGCTCCCTAAATATCCAGGAGCCTGGTACTCAATCCAGGTCTTGCGCATATGGCAGAGTATCTGTGCCAGTACCTGCTGTCTCCCCGGGGTGTGTAGTGGCAGGAGGCTGCTTAGGAGTGTTAGCTGGGCTTGCCCAGAAACTCAGAGACAGGATGTGGGTGTCCTGCCTTGCCCAGTGCCCGTTCTATCATCAGTCCGCCTTTCAGTGTTTTCTTGGGATAGGTTGAACTGCCAAGACAAAGAGCTTGCCCATTTTCAAGGCATTTAGTACATGTCTCCATGTTGCTTTCAAGGAGGTTATACCAGTTTTCCCAGCCAGTGTCTGCTTGACATAAAATGGTCATTTAAAAAAAAATTGTTCTCTTCCTCCTTTTTTTTTTGTTCAAAAACTGATGAGGTTGAAACTTTTTAACATGTTTATTGGGTTTGGTTTTTCTTTTGTAAGTTGCTGTTCCCTCTTTTTACCCCCATTTGAGGTATTGATCTCCTATGTTTGAAAGATTTCTTCATTCATAGGTGTTTTAAGTGTCAGTTGTTTAGCCTTTTTTTTTTTCTCCCTCGTTTGAATGGCACAGTGAAGAGATCTTCCATCCACTGGTTCTCTCCTCAAGTGCCTGCAGTAGCCAATTCCAGGCCAGGCCAAAGCTAGGAACTCCCTCTGCATCTCCCACATGGGTGTTAGGAACCAAAGTGCTTGGGCCATCATCATCCATTCTTCCCAAGTGTATTAGCAAGGAGCTGGATCAGAAGCAAAGACAAAACTTGATCATAGGCACTCTGATGTGGGATGTGGGCATCCCGGGTGATGGCTTAACCCACTGTACTGCATTACCTGCCCTGTGTCTAGGCTTTTCAATGAAAAACAAAATTTTTTAAAAGATTTATTTATTTGAAAGGCAGAGAGAGAGAGAGAGAGTGATCTTAATCTTCTGGTTCATTCCCCAGATGGTTGCACTGGCTAGAGCTGGGCCAGGCTGGAGCCAAGAGCTTCTTCCAGGTCTCCCACATGGGTGGCAGGGGCCCAAGGACCTGGGCCATCCTGTGCCGCTGCCGCCTTCTTCTTCTTCTTTTTTTTTTGTTTTAAGATTGATTGATTGATTTGAGAGGCAGAGAGTTAGAAGCACAGGCAGAGAGAGGGGTCTTTCATCCACTGGTTCATTCCCAAAATGGCTACATGGCCAGGGCTGGGTCAGACTGAAGCAAAGAGCCAGGAGCTTCATCTGGGTCTCCCACGTGGGTGCAGGGGCCCAACCACTTGGGCTATCTTCCAATGCTTTCCCAGGCGCCTTAGCAGGAAGCTGGATTGCGAGTGGAGCAGCTGGGACATGAACTGATGCCTGTTGCTGGTGTAGCAGGCAGTGGCTTAACCCCCTGGGCCACAATGCTGGCCCCTAATGTTGATTTAATATGTAACAGGTCACTGTTTTACTTAATTCACAGTAGAGTTTAACACTGACTAAGAATTTTAAGTTCCCAGCTCCACATTGCCATTCTTTGATATGAAATCAGATATATTCTTAGTGGATTCAGAAATATGTTTATAGTAGAAGATACTTGAAATGTATAAAGATCACCAAATTAATCTTTACATGGGCATTTGCTCGCTTTTTCTGGAAGAGGCGTTCAGGGCAGTGACATAAAGTGGTATTTGCCGGTGTCTGCAGGTTAGTTCTAGTCTTCAGAAAAGGAAGCTAACAGTTTTTCTTTAGAAAAGTCAATTTTTTTGGCTTTTCTGTAAATCCCTGGTTAGTTTGTTTATTTGTTCTTGTTTTATTTAAGTACTTTATGGCTACATAGCTTACCGTTGGAGCTTTTATTTTCCTTAGCTTTAATGTGCACCAGTGATGCAGAAACGCTTAAAACCCTTAACTTGAACTATTTTTACTTAACTAGTATTGCTAATATTAAAAGCTGGTTTCTTTTTTAGCTTTATTTTATTTATTTGAAGGGCAGAGTTAACAGATGGAGAGAGGGAGAGATTGATTTTCCATCCGTTGGTTTACTCCTCAAATTGCTGCAAGAGTCAGGGCTGGGCCAGGCAGCAGCCAGTACCTTCATCAGTGTCTCCTACATGGGTGCAGGGGTCCAAGCACTTGGGCCATCTGCTGCTGCTTTTCCAGGTGCACTAGCAGGGAGCTGGATGAGAAGTGGAGCAGCGTGATTTGAACTGGTGCCTGTATGGGATGTCGACTTTACAGGCTGCCTCTTAACATGCTGTGCCACAATGCCTTCCCCTAAAACGTGGTTTTCTAAGGTAACCACCTAAGTAACTAGTGAGTTATTAAACTGACCCTACCTGCACAGTTCTGTGGTTAGCTGTCTTTGACATTGCCCTCTTGTGTTTTCACTGCAGTGTCCAGCATCTATCCTTTGGTTGTGCTGTATGTGCACAGCACTGTGTTCAGTGGAGAGGCGGGTCTTGCCTAAGGAGCGTATCTTCTAGAGAGGGGGAACTTATGGTCCTTGGGCCCCATGTCCAGTGCAAGTTATGTCTGAGGTGCAGCCTGGTCATCTGTGTATTTTTGCCACTCCCATGGTAGTCATCCCCTCTGATGGTCTTGACTGAGTGAGAGGAAGTGGGGTGAGAAAGCAGCAGCCCAGAGGAATCACACCCTCAAGAGAGTTGTGCTGAGGAAGAAGCACTCGGGCCTGGGATGTGAGTGGTTGGAAAGGAGGTGTAAAGAGAGGTAGGTAGGCATCTTGCTTTTATA